GCCAATGCTTGACTTATTGTCTGCATTTGCAAAACATAAAACATATCAATTTATTGGCCATAATTACCTCTATTTTACTACATATACTCAAAACAAGAAAAGGGTTATCTTGGTTTTCATTTTTCCTCTTTTCTTGGGAGAGAGGGTGGAACAGTTTATTATTCTCAGAATCAGCCACGGTACCTGCTCAGATAAAGGAGCTCCGGCATCAATGCTATGACTGGCAACCTTTCCCGCAATGACATTTGCATCAGTTTCAAGAATGATGCTGCAGTGAGAAAAAAGTGATAAGAAGAGATGGCAACATAAACAAATTCAAGAGCTGAATCTGGTTGGAATAACAGACGAGGCAAGCGAGAACCAAAGAATTATCATCTTTGGTTATTTCCTTTCAGCTGTAGATCCTATTTTCATTCTTCTCCCTTCAAAACTCCCCAACAAAGTGCAACAGCAGGAGAACTGAGTGCATGATATCTAATTCCAAGATTTTATGTACTTATTTTTTTATCAGAAGCATTCAAGTAACATAGCATCTGGCACCAAAGGCCCTCTCACTTTCTACTGAAAATGCTTCAAAGAGAGAACCAGAATCAAGGAGAGAGTAACCTTGTTTACCATGTAATCCTTGTACAGTATTCAGAAAAATAAGAGAGAAAAGGAGATGTTTCCAAATGAAATGTCTACATTTATCCAAAATTTCACAGATCGCATACTTATCTACAACCAGATGACATGCTCCTTAAACTCCTAACTATAACAAACATATAGACATGACAATTCAGCAGACCACTTGCACATCCAGAATTCATTTAAGAGCATAGGAAATACTGCTCAAGTTGTTTCTTTAGATTCCAACGGGTATGGATCTTTTTTCAATTTGTTGAGCATAAGAATTTCTTATGCATCAAATTCTATCAACTTCAGATAGAAAACAGACAAGATCCATACTTCAGAACTGGAAGAATTTTAGATCAAGAAGCAAAAAGGAATAACCAAAATGATCACTAAGAGATTCATGAAATTAGACTAAATAAATTTCAAGTATGATAGTGTTACTGGTTAAGGAAAAAAAAAAAAGTATGATGAATCATACTGCATACCCGCCATCAACAATTTCATCAAGGCATAACAAGATAAGATCCAAGTTCTCCAGTGCCTCTTTCTTATCCACACTGCCTCTGGAACAAGGGATAGATATGTTAAAACTTCATCTATATGATGTCATCCAAATTCATCTACAGTAATGGTAAATGGTGTTAAGTATTGTTCCATATTATACCTGAGAAGCAGGCCAACTGCATCAAAAAATCCTTGAAGAACTGTGGCCAAGATTATCTCATTTTCATTTTCACCCCCAGTAACAAAAAAGTGAAGGTCTTGAACAAACTTGTAAACTACAACGTAGTTCTCAAACATTGTTATTTCTGCTGCAAATGAAGAAAAATGTACTGTGTTAAAATGGTCATAGTATGAAAAAAAATAATTATGATCTCTTGCGCCTCTCATTTGAAACAACAAAACAAAATGGAAACTTGTTCTAAACAAATTGTTATCAACATACAACTTTCTAATTCCAATAATCCAGATATTAGTTTCCAAATTAAGTAATCAACTAAACAAGATCCACCTCCAAACATACATCTTAAATCAGCATAATGAAGTAGAATCAAAGATTATAGATTGACAGTAAATCAGAAAGACTAGAAACACATACAAAGTTAACAGTGTTAAGAAGCTAGTAAAAGGCTCTGGTCCCAAATATACGGTGCATTTCATGCCACAAAGAAAGGCCTCAACTAAACAAGCAAAACACAAATAATTTACCTTCAGTGCGAGCATTTGTCTTCTGGGTCTTGGCAAATACAGCTTTCTCAAAGGCTTCCTTAGCACTATTTGTTGGCCAGTCATCTGAATAGTACTTGACAGCCACACGTTTCCCTTCTGAATCCAAAAGGAGAATGCTCTTTATGGCAGGGCAAGACTCCTACAAACACCATAAAACAAACCAAACGATGATCTCTACAAGTTCTAATAACAGCCTCCTCTAGAATGCTACCAAATATCTAGGCTTATTGTTGCATATTCACTTCAGATATCCACAATAGTTAACACTAAACATGCATATGGGATCTAATAATATACACAGTGAATCCATATTCTGAGCTTCCAAACAACATTTATTAACCAGAAACCAAAGAAGCAAGCAAGAAAAAGAATCAATACCCAGTTCCAAAATTTGTAAAATTCTAGCTACATTCACGAACCCATATTCGGTTCCAGTAAAATTTAGACATAAAAACCTCAGATTTCGTTCAAAGGAAAAAACTTGGATCTGGGTCTGGCATCAGAAATAGTAAGAGATAAAGCAAACTGAATTCAAGAGAGGGGTAAGCAAGTTCAGATCTGCAGTAGAGAAAGCACAAGCTATGCATTAACAAAGTAAATCTCTACAAAGAAAATCAGATCAGAACGCTCATAAAATTTGTTCATTGATAGATGGCGGGAAAAAGAGCTGACCATGTTCTTCAATCGGAAAAATTTTTCTCGGAAAATATCTGTGTGTCTGAGACAGGTCTTTGGAATTGGGAAGAATTGCGGAGAGCGGGGAAGAAACCAACAAAGGGGTTATTTGCTCAATTTCTTTTCTATTTTATGTATTTGTACATTTTACCCCATTACACCCTATGTATTATCGGAAGTGTTTCACTATTCGCCCAAAACTCTTTCGTTTATTCATTTTAGTACCAATTCAATAAAATACTTATAATTTTATCTATTCAAGTTTTAAAAAGTTCTTTTCAGAATTGGATTTGGTAAAAACTAAAAACTCAATTGAGGAGACAAATCTTGTTTGGACTATACTTAATTGAGTTAAAATCAATTTACATATAATTCTTATATATATATTACTTGTATAAAATTTTAACTTATGATAATAATTAAGATATATCTATTTTTATTTTATTTTAAAAATAATTAATTTTAAAAAATAAAAAATTAAACACTAAAGTAACTTTTAGTTACAATTACAGTATAACACAATTCAGCATAACCTCAGTTACAATTAAAGTTACACTCATAGCACTTTATGACAATCCTAAAAGCATCCCTAAAATAAGAATTATAAGCGCATCACTTTTAGACGTATTGTATTTTACATATAAAAAGTGATGTAGTCTGCAATTGCCTTTTACATTTGATGTGGAGTCCATGTGAAGGGTGATGTGGAGTCCACGTAAGCATCTTTTACATGTTGGTATATCCACATCAGCTTTTTCAATTAAGTTAACATGTCATGTGAGCAAAAATTAACGGAAGGACCAAAAGGGGGTCGGATTTTTGAACAATAAGGACTAAAAAGGGGATTTTTTTGGTACAGGGACCAAAAATGAGCTTTTTCCTATAGTAGAGGGACCAAAAAGGGTATTTAACCATTGTTTTATAGGAAGGTTATTTCTACTTACAGCTTCAGTACTCAAGTAACTGAAATATTTCGAGATCATGTGGGGATGTCATCAAATAGGAAC